TGAAATCTCCTCTTTTTTGCTAAGCTGAAGAAGGACCTTGGGTTGGTCTTGCCTCTGCTTTGATTTCCCTCAGAATGTCTGTTCGGTCCCACACACCATCTTCTTACTCAGCTCAAATAAGAAATAAGGACAGGTTTGACTCCACAGCAATCCCTATGTCTTACAAGAGTCACTAAGGTTTGTTAATAATGTATTGAAAATTCCAAGTCTCCATCCCAAATCTACTCCATTAAAGCATAGGGTCTGCGGCAACTAATTAAGTCTACCATCCTCTTTTTCTGTGGGGGCAGGTGTGCAATGGCTGCAAACAGCAAATCCTTGGTAGTGTACGCAGCCTGTTGCCCTAAGGAACGTTGGAGACAACTCTTGGAAAAAAAAAACATAGGTCTGGCCTATGTCTCAGAACTTTTAATAAACACTTCAGTTAATTCTTAGTTATCTAAATCTTGAATAACTGCGTGTAAATTTTTAAAGCATTTCCCTGTCATATACCTATCTACTCTGTTTTATTTGCATAGTATGAAATAAAAGTACGCAGTAAGACATTGGCCCAATTATTCAACTTAAATTTCATAATGTAACATTTTACTTCTCTATAAGATGTATTATGCTTCTATATAAGAAGAAGTATTTATTACCTTTCTACCCTCATTCAACCCCAGAATCACAAATTACTATTTGGAAAGTGGTAAATCACCCTCTAAAGTGTCTGATTCATACAGTTCAAATTATATTGGAAATGATTATTTTTGTAATGTTTTCACATTGATAGCATACCTGAAAACATTGTAATTATAGCTCTTTATTATTTTATTAAATTTTTATATATAATTGAATTTAATATGTGAGTATGTTTTGAGAGAATATAGATTTGAATAATAAATCCTGAAAATAGCTCAAGATTTTGACATACAGCTAAGATGTAATAACAAGGACTGGATTTATTGTCTCTGTCACTCCTTCAAACACATACCCCAAAAAAAAACCCCCAAATTAGACCAACTATACTAAACTGACTTTCAAGATACTAGACAAGAGATAATGAAAGACAATAACAATTATAGGTGGGAAACAAACAAGGTGAGCAGTCTAGTTGGCCCGACTTTACTGCCTTTCCAGTAAACTAGAGAATTTACAGACTGACTCAGGGAAGTGAAACATAAAGCCTACCAAACTGAGTTGAAAAGCTCTATGAACAATAAGTTGGCTAAGATTTTCTAGACAAGTTCTGAAAAAGAGAGAATGGCACAGAGAGATAACTACAGAGATCTCCACAGGTCCTCAAATATTCACCTGAATACTAACCAACACATGCCCATGAGAAACTCCCTGGGAAAGAACCACCTAGAAAGATTAGTTGTCATAGTGTCTGAAGCTCACATGAAAACACATGCTGCTGACTCCAGACTGGAAAACATGATTTACAGACTGTTGTATAGGACATACATTAGGGTGCTCTGGTGATATGTTCATAGTTGTTAACCCAAAGGACACAAATCCATAGCAGTTTGACTCCACCACTAGTACTGAGGGAAAAATATGAATGGTATTCTTCCATTATTATTATTAACAGCCTTGGAAATCCAGTAGACTCTTGTAAATCTGAGCCAATTAGACATCAGTAAGTGAGTCAGTGAGAGTGTAGGCTTTAAGGAGCTCTTGTGGCATAATACATTCATGTTGCACTAAAGGTGGGCAGTCTTCTCTTGTTACTTACAATTTGTTGCTGTGATATGCCTTCGAGTTGCCTGCAACTCATAGTGACCGTGTTTACAACAGCCCTGAACTCTGCTCTATCCTGTTCCAATCTCACTGTCTCCCACATACCTACCCCCATTACCCTAGTCATTGAATCAGTCCAACTCATTGAGGGTCGTCCTCTCCTGCGCTGGTCCTCCACCCTCCCAAGCATGACGTCCATCCCCAAGAACTGGTCCCTCCTTACAGTATGTCCAAAGTATATCAGATTAAGCTTCAGAATCCTTGCCACCAAGGAGCAGCCTGGTTTTACCCTCTCCAGGATGAACCTGTTTGTTCTCTTAGCAGTCCATAGTCTATTCAACACTGTTCTCCAGCACCACAAATCAAAGACATCAATTCTTCTTCTATCATCCTTACTCATTGCCTAGCTCTCTGATGCTAGCAAGTGATTGCAAAGACTCTGGCCTGTGTCAGGTACACCTTAGTCTCCAGACTGACTTCGTTGCTCTTCAGTAGTTTGGAGAGGTCTCTGACAGCAGACTTTCCCAATGCAATTTGCCTTTTACTTTCCTGGCTGCTGGTACCAAGAGTGTTGATTGTGGAGCCAAGCAAACTAAATTAAGCTGTTAACAATCTCAGTCTCTTCACCATCCACCACGATGCTGCCAATCATCCCAGTGGTGAGAATTTTTGTTTTCTTGTTATTGAGCTTCAATCCATATTTAAGGGTAGTCTTTGACCTTCTAGAAGCAGCAAGTGTTTCAGATCCTCCTCAGTTTCAGCAAGCAGGCTTACAATTTCAGCCTCAAAATCACAACAGAATTTTGCTATGATTCAGAATCTACTCAATGGCATTGGATATAGGATATATGAAATATTGCTTCATTAATGCAGAATATTTATCTCTAAAATAAGCACTGCAATAAAATGGCCAATAATTAAAGATGAGACGGTAAGGAGACATAGAAATGGAACAAGCAGAATGGAAGTAATGAGAATGACCACACATTGGAAAGAATGTAACCAATGTCACTAAACAATTAATGTAGAAATCTGAGTGGAAACCGAAAGTACTATGTAAACCATCACAAACACAAATATTTTAAATGAATCTACACAAAGAAATGAAAAGCACCAGAAACTGCTACGTATATGACATTTTTATTGTTCAGGATTATATCCTTTTTTCATACCTATTAAATCTGTGTGCTGAGATTATTTGAGAAGCTGAATTTTATGAAGAAGAATGTGACATCGACATAGGAAGAAAACTCATCAGTAACCCTCGTCATGCAGATGACACAACCTTGCTTGCTGAAAGGGAAAAAGACTTGAAGCACTTGCTACAAAAGATGAAAGGTTGCAGCCTTCAATATGAATTGCATCTCAACATCAAGAACACAAAAATGCTTGCCACTGGACTGATAGGCAACATCACAATAGATGGAGTAAAGACTGAAAGTGTCAATGACTTCATCTTAACTTGGATACACAATGAGTACAATTGGTATTGTTGTTGTTATGTG